GCTGAATTCGAGCTGAGGAGGGTTAGGGTACCAACGGATGTCATTACAGTGCCTTTGACTGGAGGGTTCTAGGTTAGAATCCAGACGGTAAGATTTTCGACATTACTATTTTTAGCTAGGTCGAATTATGTCGTTGTCTATAAAAGAATTCTAGCGTCCGGCTGCTCTGATCGGTAATTGTCCGTGGTTTCTCCGATCAACACCAGACAAATGCCGGAGCAGTACCCTAACAAACGGGCTATGGACAGCGCACGATCTTTCCTTCCTCTTCCTTGTCTTATCCTCACCCCTAACTTACATATACTTATATTAACATGCACTACACTACCACAAATGCCTGTAGACTGGTCGGGAGTTTATCAGCTTGTCTTGGCTGGGACGGTGCTCCACTGGTGGGAGATAATTGGTTGGGAAAAAACCCGTTAACCGACGGTAGGTCGGCGCCGGATACCTCCATCCAGCAGGGGTTGCTACCTCCAGTAAAACATGCACTACATGTACGGGAATAGTGGCCTTAGTAGTTGTCGTGCTCGGAATCACTATCTAGCTACCTACAGACCGCCACAGTCGGGACTCAAGACCTAGGATGACCCGGTCAACGTCGCGGCAAAGACAGCGCCGAGCTGACTCTGAGCTAACTCAGCCGGCGGGCCTTATCGTCCCCCCTCCCGAGAGAGGAATTAAAACATTAGTGGGGGAAAGGCGCTCCTAATACAGGCTGCCACGAGGGGCGGAGAATTCACTCACAGCTCGCTCCCGAACGCCGCGTCGCGTGTTGTTCGCTGTAGACGCAACAAAAACTGTAATCCGAGAAAGTTTTTGTATGCTCCCTCCGCTCCCTCTATCGATTACGAAAAATAGAGAAAGTCACGTGATGCGGCGCGAAAAAGCAGCGAAATTTCGGCAGAAAAACTCCCTGGCCCTGGCAACGGAAAAGGGTCTGGAAGGCCCTAAGGCCCTGGCAACGAAAAAGTGAATAAATCAAGTTCCTAAATTTAGAGAAAGAAATTCGCTGACACGTGGTATATCCAGTGAGTCATTGATGCCGAAAGATCAACTGACGACAATACATCTGTCTGTCTATGAACACCGCTTTCGGTAAAACATTTCATTCCATTTTCTCAAAAAAATGATAGTCCCCCATCGATCTGGCTAATTTTGCCGCCCCTGAATTTGAAATCGATGTATTAGTTTTGGAAGGTACTTTACATGAAGCCTCTGGGACATTTTCAATTTTCAAAAAAATGGCTCAATAGGTTTTTTATTGAATTCTGTTGTAGGATAGTGTGAAAGATGCTTAAGAGAATGGTGCAGCGGTCATGTTCGTTAAATACCCTGATTTTTCGAAAATTGCAAAATTTGAGATGTTTTCGGTGTCTGCCTACAGCTACAATTCTAAAGATAGAGATTTTTCCCTTAATAAAATTGTTCTTTATAGATTATTTTCAAAACAAGGTCAGGTGCAAATTTTTGAAAACTTGAGTACTTTTCGTATAAACTTAAGTGAAAGTACGGGCGAGAAAATACCTACTGTTTTAGCACCATTATATTTTTATGTGTGTGTGCGTGCGTGTGTGTGTTTTTTGGGTGCGTCAATAATTTGGGCATTAACTCTGTGAGTTGTGTACATTGGGTGCTGTGAGATGGGCGTGATCCTTTGCAACTGATACAAGGGTGCCAATCTTTACAGCTGCAAACAAGGTTACCCTTCTCCAAGTATCTCTTCTATCGGGGAAGATTTACAGGCGGAACAATCTCATAGTTCGTACCTGAAGAGACAGACAAAGAGACAAAGAGGCAAAGAGGCACAGACAGACTAAGAGGCACAGACAGACTAAGAGGCACAGACAGACTAAGAGGCACAGAC